TGATGCTGAAAGAGCAAAAAATGTTAGCTCCGGTGACACATGGACGAAAATCTTCGTATTTGTGCTAATATTTCACAAGGTTATTGATGGTTATGTTGTTCATTTCTATACTTGCCTTTTGCTTCGAAGTTCCAGAGTTGAGAATACATTCAGCCTCAATTTCACTGCGATTCAACTTATTATGTCATGCATTATGGTACTTGGCATGATAGTAATCATAAACCTCTAACTTTGCAGCAATATTACATATCTTCAGCACGAGAACTTGCGAGGTTGGTTGGAGTATGCAAATCTCCAGTGATACAAAATTTTTCTGAAACGATTTCAGGAGCAACGACTATCAGGAGCTTTGATGAAGAACCAAGATTCAGAGAGAAAAACATGAAACTAAGTGACTCATTTTCTCGGCCTGTATTCCATAATATTGGTGCTATTGCATGGCTCTGCTTCCGCCTAGATCTGTTGTCTTCTATTACATTTGCCTTCTCTTTGGTGTTCCTAATCTCTATTCCTCCGGGAGTTATTGATGCAGTTATGTTGTTGCAGATTGTTAGTTCTATTGATTATTGATGTATGTTGATAAAGAATGGTCAAGGTATGTGAGACAACTGAATTCTGTTTTCTCCTGTCAAGGCGTTGCTGGCCTAGCTGTGACATACGGACTCAATCTGAATATGTTGCAAGCCATGGTAATATGGAGTCTGTGCAATCTGGAGAACAGAATTATATCAGTTGAGAGAATAATTCAGTATTCTAACATTCCCAGTGAGCCTCCTCTTGTGATCGAAACAAATCGCCCAGCTCATTCTTGGCCATCTCATGGAAAAATTGATATTCATGATCTGCAGGTAATCAGTTCTTAGTTTCTGCAGCTTGTTATTTTTACTCAATCGTTGCAGTACTGATTTTGATGGGTCAATTTAGGTCCGTTATGCCTCACACATGCCACTTGTGTTGCGGGGCCTTACATGCACTTTTCCAGGAGGGTTGAAAACTGGTATTGTAGGGAGGACAGGCAGTGGTAAATCAACTCTTATACAGACACTTTTCCGGATTGTTGAACCTGCAGCTGGCCAGGTTATAATAGATGGTGTCAACATCTCATCCATTGGACTGCATGATTTGCGGTCAAGACTAAGCATCATTCCTCAGGATCCGACAATGTTTGAAGGGACTGTTAGGAGCAATCTGGATCCTCTTGAAGAATACACTGATGAACAGATTTGGGAGGTCAGTTTGATTTATTTTGAAAGGGGAGGAAGTTGTAGTCTGCAGCCTTTCCTCCTAGTAAGAAGCATTTTTTTTAATTGGTATTTGACGTTCAATGGTTGCTAAAACCAAGTTTTAATTGAATTAGGCTCTTGATAAGTGCCAACTTGGAGATGAAGTTAGGAAGAAGGAAGGAAAACTAGATTCTACAGGT